AGGTGGCTGAATTTTACGGAGACTTGCCACGGTCTCCAACCCTCCTGCTTTCTCATCCGGGCTTGGGACCTGCATTGGCGGAGTTGATTCAAATCTCTGGTTGAAAGACTAACAATTTGGTGTATTTTATCCCAATATGGAACACGAAGCTGATCTGTTGGAAGTTCTTGACTTCGCTTGAAAATGTATCAAACTGTAACGTAGAAGTGATAAACTTAAATTCCGTGCTAAATCAAAAAATCTTTCATTCACACATAGTCTTGCAAAAAAATGACAAAAAAGAAGTCAGCAGTTCATTTGAAAAGGATACAAGCAGGTTGTTATGATAATAAATTAACAAAATAACTGTTTGAAGCATGAAGACATGCTCATAGCTATTTTTATTTTAATTCAAGTTAATAAATAAAATTATGAATTAGCATCGGAAGGAAGTTCTGCAAGTCGTCCTGTTGACTATTCCCGCTGAATTTTATTGGCTGATGTGGTTGTGTAGAATGCGGCATTCATTTAGGGCAGAACATTTCATATTCTTTGCTGCGGCAGGCAATATTTCTTCGTACTGTGTTTATACGCCTTTATCCAGTTTTTCCAGCATGACAATTTTCAAATGTACAATCATGGAGAACCATTTGATATACTTCTTGTTTTTTCTCGCTTCTGTATAGAACATTTTTAGTTTGATGGTTAGAATATGTGTTCCTTTGACTTGCCACAAGGAACATCTTTGATTATTGATTCAGTGATTTAATTTTTGTCATGAAATTGATGAATTAGGCACTTGCACAGATGGTAGCTAATGATGCGTCCAATATGAAGAACTTAAAATGTCATTTCTTCTTTCCTTTTCAATATTTCTTTGGCCTGTTGTTGAAATTGACCTTACCATCCATGCTTCAAATAATTTTGATTTCGACTTGCTACCGAAAATAAAATGTTCCAGAGTCTATCATCAACATTCCTGGCACAAAAATTGAATGACGAACAAATTATCGAAATCACGTTAGGCCAGACTCCATTGAAGTTATTCTCCGCAGCCGTTACAGTAATTTGCGTGTCATGAATTCGCAAACGGCTCGTTAACGACGCACTGGTATCCACAAATCTATGTGCCAATTAAGGTAGTTCTCTTTCCGACAGGCACTTTGACCGCAGGCTCCAATAAACGTCAATGCTAAACCTTCTGGATGGAATATTTTAAGATTCATTCAACGTTAATGTTCTACATATTGACTCATGGACCACGCTGGATCAATAATATGGGAAAATAAAAAACAATGCTATTCTTTTTCCAATTTGGACAGTTAACACCAGGTAAACCTGGATTAGTACAGTTGAGTAGATGTACCTGTTTGTGTGTTCATGCAACTACACAGAGAATTATAGTTTTTATTGCCATGGTTGTGAAACGCAGATGAAATGAGCACTGCGAGGCAAGCGCAAGTAGTTTTAAATATATTGCTTAGTCAAAGTTTGGATCGAAGAATGAAAGCGACATTAGGCTTTTGGCTTTAAAGTACGTTCAGATTACACTAAGAGTTTAAAAATCAATGTAAAAACATGTTTTCATGTAAATCTTAAGCAGGCATTACATGACTGCGACCACTTTGATAAAACATGCACGTCCTTCCGTTGAGGTTTCTGTTGATGTCGTGAAAAAGACAAGAGGGTTCTTAGAATTTATGAAGTTGTTGAGCATGGATGACGATTTAAAACCGCCTAAAGAAATAAGTGGGAGTTCAGATGCAAGCGATGAAAGCAGACTGGATAGATGGTATAATATTTTCCATGAAATTGATAATCCAGGTTTTGTACCTGGCCTCTTGGCGTTGCTAACGATGACCATATTGGCTGAAGTCGGGCAACTGTTAACTATCGTCCATCCGTTCCTACGCGACGTATACATGCTCATCTTTGCCATTTATTTCGCACAGTGGGCATACATCCAGCGTTACAGCTTCGGTCGTGTCCATCCCGTGGCACACTTCGATGAACTGAATCTGCTGACTCTGCCAAGAACCACCGGCTATTGCATGGACTGCTGCGGGCCGATAGAACCGCCGACGTTGTGGGTGAGAGACGGTAATGTACAGGTGATTACTGTTTTGTGGAATGGTTTACGGTTCCTAAGCTGATTATGCCATACTTTTTGCAATTCAGGAAAGGTCAGGACAAGTACGAAAAAGCATTATCAACGACGAGCGAAGTGAAGCAATGATATCGACTACTGAAAGCAAGGAATTTGAAGAGAAAAGAAGAAAGCTGTATGAAAACCAAGCCATCACTGCCAGAAAGTTGTACGAAACCATGATGAAGGAAGAGAAATCTCATCCTTCTGCATTCATCAAGGTAAGTTATCCGTCTATAGCTTTATAACTAATTAGCATTTTAAAATGTTAATGACATATCACTGGAATGAAATAAGTGGGATCTTGAGATTTTTTATGTGACAGAGAGAAACGACCGTTGAACATCTCTCCTGCAGCAGTTGTCTCCACTACTTCAATTGAATTGAGAGTTTTGAAAACAAATGTGAATGAGCAAATGAATGAACAAATGAATGACTGATCTAGCGAGCGACTCGATGAATGAATGGACAAATGAATGCCAATCAAAGACTCTGCCGAAGACTTATACTTTCTGTGAGTTCTATCCATGATAATCCGGCGAATTTATTTAGCACAGAATACCATCGATCTGGAGGTCTTCCTATGGATCATTCACTCTCTCCTGGAATCCACTGAATTGTTTCTCTGGTTCAGCGGTGGCCGGTTCTTTTTATAACATACCCTCTCATTGCTAAATCAACTTTTTCACTCATCCAATGATATCACAAACCCTTGCTGGTGCCATTCATTTGTTTGCCCATTTCTCCTTGTAATTCTCAACTCTTGCCATGAATCTTTCCCTGCTTCATTGCATAGCCTGAAATTTATGAATATGATTGTCGTCAGGCATGTGATACACGTGTTGTACCCGTTGGTTAAAACTGCGAGAGCGCATTAATCGAATCCGTTCGTTTCAGGCAGAAGAGCAGATCCTGGATACCATCCCATTCTTATGTTAGGAGTATTCTTATTCTTTTCTTCGTTTCAAATAATCGGCTCCCCATTAGAGAGAGAGACGAGCTGGCCCAAAGAGACGCAGTTTTGCATTTCTCCAAACATACGCCCGTTGACTTCAGCATTTCCATTGTCCCTCATTTGGTAGCACGAACTTGACTCTTAGTCAAGTGCATTTTCAGTCCTAGTTTCATGCTGGCGTTGTTCAGTCCCTTGATTCTTCTTTGGAGTTCTTCGTACTGGAGACCTTGAGAGGATCACAATTTTGCCCGCAGGCCGCGGGTAGATGAAACTGAGTCAATTTATGTTCAGCCCATGATTTCCTCAACTGAATGTATGGCAACCTCCTCTGAGGCTGCAGCGAACAACATCGGGGATATTGCGTCTCCCTGTCATATGTTCTTTCTGATGCTGAACTTGTTTGTGCTTTTATGAAGCTTCACACTAGCAGTTGCATTCTCGACACTATGATGATCAGGTTTATATGTTATATGTTCCCTGACTCGTAGAGGAATCCAACACAGAACGGATGTAGACTGAGTCGAAAGCTCTTCTGGAAATAGATGAACCCCGGGCAGAGAAGAAGCTGATATTAGTTGTTTGTCTGAATTAATCGCTGATCACCTGAAGACGAAAAATTATGCTAAATCCACTTCTGAATTCTGCTTGCTCCTTTGACCGTGAAACACTTATTTTTTCTTGAAGTCTGTTCATCCGTACCTTCATAAAGACCTTGTCGATTAATATCGATAATTAACAACAAATAAATCAACCTGCATTTTTTCAAATTGTCTCTGTCTTCCATTTTGTAGGGTAGGATCACCGATGCGATAATTGAAATCGTCTGGTACTTTCAGTTCCTTTTGATAGTGTGAAAGCAAGCCCGCTAATATCTTAGTCAGTGCTTCACTGTCCAGGTCTCCTATAGTTTCCATTTTTGCCATGAACCTTTTTGTTTTAAACTGCACTGTGTATTTCTTCTGTTAGATAAACGAAATTGCCAGATAATAAGAACTGGATAATTATATCAAAAATAATGCTTGTAAAACTAAGATCTGCCCATGATTACGATTATGTAATGTTCACTTGATAAAATTTCTCAGAAAATGTCAGATTGAACCATCGAAAATACATCCACCCTGAAATATTCCAAATCCATGATTTCATCCGTTGCATTCCACACGTCATTTAGACTCTCAGGCATGCGGAACTCGGGTTCGTTGAAGTGTTCAAAATTTTAGTATAAAAGTATGCTTCGTATTTACTGGGGATCTTGAAACCAATGAATAGCACTGCGAGACTTCATCTGGGATCAAAACTAAAAAAAGCCAGGACGATTCTAATAAGAGCAAATCACAGCTTTATGACCGTTAAGTCATAAAAGTTTACAATTCTGACCGAACGCTTGAGTCAGACGATGAAAACTGCTAAACACTTTTCAGTCGGCAAGATGGCATTGACTTACATCGTGTTGTGAGGTGATGTCAAAATTACTAAGCCAAATTTTCAAAACTTGGCGACCCCAATTGCATCAACAACGTGACTTTATTTCCCTTTTTTCAGGCATAACAGTCATTCCTCTGCTAACCGAGGGAACCGATCAACCGCTTTTGCTATTCCCTCACTAACCGAATAATGTTGGTTATTGCCCGTTATCTGTGACGAGGATACTGAGACTGAATTTTAGACAAGGAAATATTTGGACGTAGATTTGGAGCTGTGCCACCGTGCCAAGTTCCTTATGGCGCAGATGTCAAAGAGCAGCGTTGATGCATATATGCGCAAGTACACCTCGCAGAAAAACTATGCTTGGAGGTAACCCTCTTCGATGTTAATGATGGCACGATTCGCCTATGCGTCTCTAGAGCTGGGTAGGTCACTGTCCAATGCAAAGGAAGGAGAGCTAAATTGTCACCATTGTGATTCTCTTACAAAACTTTCGTTGATTTTCATTTGAACTGGAGCACACTTTCTAGATTGGAATCCTCCCTTATTTCGCTGAAACTTTTACATCTGATATATTACATCCTTTCCGTGATCCATGAAACATAATGTCTCCAAATTTGCAAAATGAACAGTTGGACGCCTGTTAAATCTAATTACTGCAGTTCTATACACGTTTTTCAGGAAGATATCTCCAGGTCTCTACCTGATGAAAGTAAGGCACTAAGGTTTCAAACCATTGTCCTTTTTTAATGCCTCTTGAATAACGATAATTCAGTCAGCTACGCTTTGGTCTTCTTTACGCTAAATGCTGTCGGACACTAGTGATCTGCGCCAACTTCTAGGGAGACAACAAATTCAGGGCTAGAGGAAGTAACTGTGTCATGTAGTTGGTGAGAAGTCGTTGGATATACTCAATCCATTTTCTGAAGCAGATTCCTCATACATATATATACAATAACCATGTGGTCAGCCTTTTGGAACAATGCGGGATTCCAGTAACTTCTGGTCGACAGACGAACGATGCGTTAAGCTTTAGGAAAAAGGAAGAGGCCCATGCTGGTAACATGCAGTGTGTCGTGGTCAAAGAAACAAACCTTCCGTACATCTCCCGGTGGATGACCACAATTTTATTCAGAGTTTCACGACCGGTGGTCAGCATTTAGTCTATGCCAGCACACGGTTCGACTAACATAAGCCCTAATCTTGCCTTCCCCGAATAAAGAACCAGCGCATGCAACATATGTCCTACTCATCATAATGGTGAACTATGATGTCGCTGATTTGATAGCACCTGGTAGCATGGCCCTCCTGTAGGGCACTCACTCAGCGCAACTAAACAACAGCAAAGCAAATAGACTATCATCTTCACGGACCACTAATTTTGGCTGTAGAGAGGAAGGCCATTGACTGATTATGTAACATCCAAAGAACCGGTTTAAAATGTGACCGCATTGCAACAGCACTCATTGCTTCCATAATAATCTGAGTCGATGTTCTGGTTCTTGCAGCAGGCTTCGTTTTATGCTTTATATTGCATGTAAAGTGACGTCTTTAGTCGGCTGACAACACTTCAGGCCGCTTTTGCCCATTGATTACTCACGTCCGTCTTTGAACATTTA